TGAACCAATATGTGAGGGAAGGTAAGGATGTGTTAAAAATGAGATAAATCTATTTTTCAAGCTAGTCAGAGGTGCATTATGTTAATCTAGGTATTGAAAATTTGAATATTACCTGCAAAGGTAGAAGATTATTGAGTATTAGAGTTGTTCTCAACTGATCTCTTTCCACACTTTGTCTGGTTCCACAATTAGTTACTAAAAAAAAAAAAAAAAAAAAAGAAAGCCTTAATGGGAATCTGCAGACACAAAATACTTAATTCTCACATCTAAAAGTCCTGGAAAATTCAGGAGGTAGAGAAGGGGTGAAGATTGGTTATTTGTTATTTCRCAGCCAAAATGCAGGTTTTCAAAAGGAGCAAACATTGACACGAAACAAACTCCAGTCTGATTTGACTGTGAGAAGGCAAATGGCAATCATTGCTAAATCTAAACAATACAATTATTAGTATTTTTAAGCAACAGCTTCTCAGTTAATTATCAGCTTTTGAGATAGAATAGGTGGCAGATTTAAGGAAAGAAGGGAGAGCACAGAGAAGAATAAAGCAAAAGCTGAAGTTAATAGCTGAAATTATATTTTTTTGAAAAAACAAGTTGTTGGTAGAACATTGATTTTAGCTCAGAGTAGTAATTTCAAACAGCTGAAGAAAGATCTTTTGAATACACTTTCGGCCCGTGGTTTGTTATAGAACATGCAAATGGATACAAAAAGGTGTCTGCTGTTAAAAATGTCAGCAAGCTTGGGAAAAATGCCAGCAGAACGCATAAAAACCTAAGCTGCAAAGTAGCTTTGTAGGTATTTCCAGTTATTTAGCATCTGGTAAGTACAATGGGCTTTCTTTCTAACACCAAATTTACTTGTCTTTTTTGCTCACATTATTTTAGTGGGTTTTTTTCCCAGCTGTTTTTGTTTGTATTTGGTATTATACACCAATATAATTATGACAATTATGCCGCATTGTCATAATCAGGAGATGTAGGAGGAAAAAGGAGATTCTGGTGAAAGGGAGAATCTCGGCAATGAAAAGGTGAAGAGCCAAATTCTTCTTCATGGAAAGGACAAGGTGGGAAGCAGGACACAAGGGTCAAACT